AGTTATATTGTACCATATTGATTTCGATATAGCCCAATTTCCTAATTGTTCCGGAACATCAAGGTATGCCGGGAATGTTGTAGGGAAATATTTGTTGTGACATACCATCCAGAGAAAATAGTCCAAAATTAATACAGAGTTCTACTAGTTTTTAAATATATTCATGATATGGCATATTGTTTTCATTGAGTACATAGCAAAAAATAGTACAGTATTTCAACGTTACCTCTTTACGATGAAGCCGGTTGTCGATAGGTAACGATAACTTCCATATCAAATAGCACTAGCATGCCAAAAACTGACCAGACGAGTAGCGCCCTATTCTCTTCCGCTTTTTATCACTCTTTTTCCATAGTTTTGAGTAATGACACGCCCCTAATTCTTTATTGCGGTGTTTCAAAGAAAATTCACCTTACTATTGTATTTTCTGAAAACATCCGAGTGAAGTTATAGAGGTCAAAACATTATTGATAAATGTTCTTCGACAATAATGATGGATAGGAGAAAACAAACTGAATAAAGGTAAAGCGGACGGGTGCACAGTATACGAAGACGGCCCATGAATAAAAAAGAAAACATACCGATTGTGATAAATGCAATCACGGCCAAGTATTAGGACCTGTTGCCTTGCTAATCTTCGAGTGATTCGAGATAGGACCAATAAATCTTCTATATTTCTCTATTGCGTGCCAGAATAGCTCATCACGTTTTGATCGCTCTAAGAACTCGTCGAAGATCATAACTTTTTTCTAGGCTTCTTGTGAAGAACTCTAACGATCGGCGCGGTGGTCTCCTTGCAGGGTGTTTGACATGCCACGACGTAGTCCCGTCACAAATGTCCATCGGTTTTCGTTCGTATGCATTACGTGCAGGGTCCATCTCATTACTCTCGACGGTTTGGTGTGTAGAAATACGTCACTGATTTTCGATCGTTGACGTAATTCAAGCTATCGATCCCACCTCTCTCTTGCTTGACACGGAACACTCCTAGAATAGTCCTACTGCGCGTTCAATAACGCTGAGTGATCCTTCATTCTGCTTACGTAGCGACCATGTTCTTGAAGCATAGGTTAAAGGATAGAAAGGATAAAGCTCTCGGCATTTATCAATCCCTGAGGGATGCGCCATGCATTCGACTTCATTAAGTATTGTTGCAGCTTTACAATGACTCGCGGTGGTCTACCGATGTATCGAGCCAGTGCTGCTATCCTCCCAGACAAGTCTGGTATCAACTTGCGGAACCCGGACTGATGGAAGGCTTGGTGAACCATAGGCGAGGTGATCGATTCCTCGTGTGCGTCGCAGTGGCGCTTCCAACCACAGGCTAGGGCACGAATAATAGGGAAACCGAAAAGGTAGGCACGAAATCGGGTGTTCTTTGTACTCTTCAGTACATCTTCGATGCTTTTGAAAACTCCCCAAGCCGCTCGTTTTCTTCTGCTCAACTCTGAAGCTAAGTCGTTCTTCACGTTGATTACCCAACCTAGGTAGACATAACTGAAAATTCTGAGGTATTCATTCCGTTGAGCGGAAATGGGGCATATGAAGTCAATCCGTTCCTCATGAACATCGTTTTTGTAGGATTTATTATAAGGTCAATCTTTCTCTTTCTGCTGGCGTTATCAACGAAGGCAAGCATTCGTTCCGCTTGACTAATGCTTGTTGTTCTAATAACGATGTCATTAGCAAAGCCAAAATGTTGCTGGCGTCCTCGAGGGATGCGGTAAATAATTTTGGAGAGAAGGTATCGTCACGCCTAGCCCCTCTTTTCACGTTGATGACAACATCGTTGTAGAATGGTGACATCTTGATTACGATGAAATCATCTGGGAGTGAAAATCGATGGTTGATCAGCAATTAAAGCATTTGTGCTGCAGCTGATGACATTGTTCTTATAACACCAAACATTAGCAAAGCGAAACGAATGGTTGCCAACTTTGATAAAGCCTGTGGAAAGATTGGTCTTCGGCTAAATTTCACAAAGGCGATGCTTATAAAAACCAGATCGCTTTCGAATATTCACGGTTAACGAAATGAATATCTCCGAATGCTCCAGTTATGTTTATCTAGGTCGGGAAATGTTGAAATGGTCATTTTGAACGACTTAGTTCCTGAGTTAGCAGAAGGATGCGAGCAGTTTGGGGACTTTTCAAGAGCATCGATGATGTAATGGAGAGAAAAAACAACACTCGACTGGGTGCCCAGCTTTTCAATTGAACGGTTTATCCTTCCTTAACTTATGCATCAGAAACCCGTTCGCTACATTAGTAGGATGGAAGATCATTCTGTCTTGTTATACGCGCAGGTGATGACGATGCTAGGATTATTCCACGTCACATAGATGAGGGAATGCATTCGAAGCATCGAACTATATCAGCGGTAAAAAATCAAAGATGCCGTTTTATAAGCCGAACTGCAGAAGATAAGCTGGGCTGGAAACGTAATGCATATGAACCACAACCGATGGACAGGAGCCGTCAGTGGGTGAATTCTTCGGGATGTCAAACGCAATGCAGGAATGCCGCCGACATGATGGTTAAAGCTTTTCACGAAAACCCTAAAAGAAAGATATAATACTCAACAGTTTTTTAGTGCATGGTTAACTCAAGCAGGAAAGGTCACCAATATCAAGAAAAAAAAACCTTATCACAAACTGCCATCCTGAAATGAATAAATTCCGATGGTAATTTTACTGCTGCTGAATGGACATCATAAATTATATTTCACTAAAGCGTATCTCTAATGAAAAATATTAAAGGAAATCCGAAAGCAAAAGAAGAATGTGATCGACAACGAAACTTCTTGTGAGAGGCTTTTCTGCGAACGTCTAAAAAGCGTTAGAAGGAAACATCATGAAAGCGGGATGCACTATGAGTAATTTTTTAATGGAGAGAGACATGGAGTCAGACAGCTATTATTGCTTCCGGATATAAAATTATCCCTAAATATAGAAAACACCTAGTAAGAAAAACTATACAGAATTTTACCATAAATCCAACCTTTGTCAGTGGACAGAGATCGACTTTATCTCAAAACTTAGGAACTGTTCTGTCCTTCGATTACAACTATGTGGTGTTATCTTTTCTTAATAAATCCGATTAAAGCTTCTTCCTTATGAAGATTTGATTGAGAAACATAATGCAAAAAATATTCACAGTATCTAGAACGATAGAGTTGAATACGGCAAAAATATCTTGAACGAAATCTACACGACATGCGATTGGTATGTCGAAGAGAAACTAGCCGAAAGAATACAAGCTGCTTGCTACAGGATCACAAAATCCTGCTGAACAATTCGGTTACTCAACTAGAATAGTTCAATTGTACCTTATTAAAGATCGAACAGATTCATTCGTCAAGAGAAGAGAACAGGGGAAAATCCAATAGAAGAACAGTAGGAAACGTCAGGGGTTCAGTAAAGGGCGATTTTGAAGAGGAGCCATATGGATCTTCGAGAATGTTTTCCAGCCAAACGAAAGTAAGATTAACGCAGCCTTATTATACGGAATATAATAAAATTTACATTGGAAAAGTTCTAGTTTAACCTATTTACTTTTCCAACCACCACACCTACACCTCAAAATTCGCACTGGAGAAAAGCATTCCTTCACAAAGCGTCTGCGATTCATATTACACTGAAACAGCATGAAGAAAAGGATTAGCTAAAGGCAGACAACACAAAGGACAGCTTCTGTTAAACTGAAAACAACGAACAATATGCTCGTCCTACAACCTAGGACCATATCCGAAACTTAATCATTACGATCATACAATGCTATGTGAAGAAATTTTTTACGATTACTCTAACTTCTCTTGAACAACAAATAAAAAAGTGAAATTTATTCCATGGGTGACTAATAATTATATACTAGAGAGTCTTTACATTGGAACTCCAAGGCGATCTCAAATGCAACAGGACGACTTTGGTCTTACAATAAAGCGGATCCGAGAGGACGACATCGTTTTGTCTGAGTTGTTTAGCAAATAATCAAGTCGTTCGATGAAAAGGATATGCACATTAACTAGCAATTGTTTATAAATCATTGTTTTGGGCTATCATACTACTTTTTCTTTTCTTTTTTGAAAAATCGTAGTGAAATAGCGAAAGTACTCAAACCAATGAATGATCAAATGCGCGTTTTTCGTGGTTCCTCATTCCGTTACTCAATTATTAAAGGAATGTGATATAAGTAAATTATCTATCTTAACCTTTTTATTTACTGCCTATTCTTTTTAACGGCAGGGTATTTTGCGAAATATAACCATTATAATGCTGAGATATTTGCAAAACTCCGGACCGCAGCTGTCTGTGGTGTGAAACGAACGCGTTATTGTCCTTTCCGGGGAGTAACGCGTTCACCACCACACCATGCGGGTCCTTCGTTTCGCCTGTCTATCAGCCCATTCTATCGATCAGCAGACACCTGCGGTCCGAAGTTTTGCAAATATCTCGGCATTATGGTAGTTATATCTCTATATTTCACAAAATATCCTGCCGTTGAAAAGAATAGGCAGGAAATAAAAAGGTTAAGATTGTGATTATAACCTCAGCTTAACTGGGTACAATGCCTATTTGGGCTCCCCAAATCAATCCCATTGATGGGTGATTGCTGATGGCAAAAGATCGATAGAACTAGCTGAAAAACAGGCGAAACGAAGGACCCGCATGGTGTGGTGGTGAACGCGTTACTCCCGGATAAGGACAATAGCGCGTTCGTTCCTCACCGCAGACACCTGCGGTCCGGAGCTTTGCAAATACCTCAGCATTATAATAGTTTAATTACTAAAACCATAAAAGGTGTTCTGAAAGGTAACGAATGCAGTTCGTGCAGTTTGACAAGAAAGGCAATAAACAGATTGTATATATATATAAATATATATATGTTTACGTGTATACATATATGTATGGACAGGAACCCTTAAATACTGTTTAAAATCTGTCAAAAATAAGTGCGTAATAATGCTCTAAATCGTCAGTAAAATAGGAAGCCCTAGCCTTTTTAATAAGAAGAAAATTTAAAAAAACTTATTTTCGCCGAAGAAAACCTCCTGACCTGACACACGACATCTTTAAACGAGATTGAATCAATTCCTTCCTCTTTTAATTTTGCAACAACGGCTTGATGGAACCGTTCCATTTCATACATTGAAATTACTCCATCGCCATCCTCGTCCAAAACACGAAACCAGTACTCCAAGCTAAACTCAATAAAACAGAATATAGAATTAAAACAAAAAAAAAGCAGGAACAATGAAAGCGCATAAAAACTCAATACTCCGAAAATATTGTAGTTAAATAATCAACCTCGTTGGATGAGTTTTGTCCTCTTCAGCTAGTAAGAAATTTGTGAAATCAATGAGATTCATGGTATCCTTTCTGGAAGTTCGAACAGCGTTCGAGAAAATCCGATTGAGCACGAGATCAGTGATTGCTGAAAACGTCTTTCACCACAAGCAATGCATGTTCACTTGTGTTCAAATGTCATTCCTGTCTTCAGCGGCACCAATCAAAACTCTTGAAAAAGTTTATCAACTCACCACCATCCTTATGCATTCTCATATCTGCTTTGCTAACGATTTGATCATGATTCGTATCGATTTCCCAAAACTTACAATATATCACGTAAAAATGCTCATAACTGAAACTGTCCATTTAAAATGAGAAATTTGACCGAGAAAAGGAATACAAGGGCCAGTAAACCTATTATTAACAATTCACTTAGATGACAGACATTACTAGTAATAAAAATTTTGCGCTACTAAAAATTACCTAAAGTATCGTACGCAACAATTGATATCCACATTCTCTTGTAGCTGTCGAATTTTCTCAAGAAGATCCGATTTCCGAAGGGAGTCCGATGTAATTTTTCCTCTCCACACACATCCAAGATTCCACATAATTCTGGCGATAACCTGAGTATCGAATGGAATAGAATTCTATTAATTATTCATATCACGCGAAACTAGAGCTTTTATTTAACTGTAAACTGTAAACAACGACCTATTTGCAATGGTTAAAATCTTCAACAGCTCACCACATCACAATATTTATCATGAAAATCAACGGCTTCACGACAAAACTCCAGCCCTGGATGAGTATGCATAATGTCCATGATCATGCCATAAAGATCTTCACGTGTCAGATAACTTCTGCTACCATAGCTCAGTGTATAGATGAATCTAAAGCTTGTGCTGATGAGCAGAACATTGAAGGGGAAGTGTTCTAGAGGTAGTGTTTGCTTAACATAGTCATGTATATTCACAGAAGCACTTGGCAACCACCCCATCCGTTTGTGGTCTAATCCCATCCAAACTGCTACTAGCACAAAAAAAAACTAGCAAAAGAGAAAAAAATCATTCTAAATTTCGCATTTAAAAGACGCTTACAAAGGAGGTAAGGTGTAATGTCACTGAAAATAGAGAATCACATATCAATAATCTTATTCGACTACCATGTTAACTGTTCATATTGATTTATTGGACCCTCGCCATTACAAAGAACTAAAACAAAGGAAAATAAGATTCAGAAAGATACAAAAATAGTCAGCCCATAAATGCTCTTGTTCGGCTTGTTCTAAAAGTAGTTTTAGTGGATAGGAATCTCAGAGTTAAAACATAACGGACCATGCCAGATTTTTTAAAACTACCGATGATTTTCAGACAGCTATAGCAGTTGAGGACTTCAACTTTACTCTCTTATGTTAAATGTATATTTACTTGGATACTTGGACGGCTCATCCTTATTGGTTGTGCGAGTCATAGCATAATCTCTCCTTTTTTGAGAGTTTTACTGGTTTAGCCATTGTGATTCTTCAAGGTCCCGACGTCAGCCTAAAGACTGGCCCAGGTAGTCACCATCACAGGCGGTCGTCGCTCTTGGGGACCAAAGGGAGATTTGCCACCATGCGAATTTGATACCAGAACGGTGGCGGATTTTGGTATTGGTTTACTCTTAGTGGGGCTTCATGATGGAAACCCCGGATTCCTTCCCAACTTGGGAGACCCTGCCAGGGGATGAATCCCTCGCTGCACATGGCAGCCCGACACCAAGGAACACCTAGCCACAACGAGGCGGTAAACCGTTAAGACGTTGAAGATGTATATATATATATATATATATATATATATATATATATATATATATGTA